AAAATAACATGGAAACTACAGGAATTATTGGGATCATATAGGGATTATAGGGTGTATATCTTGGGGTATATTGGCATAATGGAAAATAAAAAAACTACTATTTAGGGTTTGGGGTTAAGGGTTAAGCGTTTAGGCTGGATGATTGTGGGAGGCTGATCAGGAACAGCTCGACGATGTTACCTTGGTTTGGAAGATGAACTGTCTGTGCAGAGTGAAGATCATTGCAACTTTGTAGATAGAACCTCTGCTGATGTTCTACAATTGCTTCCTGCATCAAGATCGAGGAATCTTTGCCTGTGCTAGGTACATGACGTCCCCCACCCGTCACGTCCATCGTGAAGCCCAACCGAAGAAGCCTCAGCGGCGGAGGGTACTGATGAACATGACAAGCCTTGGTGTCAACTTGGTATTCTCTGCGCTGCAGCTTTCATTGTCCGATGGATGACAGGAAACCCGGGGCACTGATGCAGTAACCTCGTCGCATGCTGAACCTCTATCGACTGAAGCAAGCTAAGTTTGAACGAACGGCGACCATGAGCTCCTGTCTAATTCCATACAAGCTGGTCGCAATTACGGGAGGTTGTAGGGATCCTATAATCCCAGTTTCCATTTCATTTTCCATTTTCTTTTCCATTTGATTCTCCATTATAGGGGTCTACATTATACCCCCAATATACTATAGTAGTTTCCATTTTGTTTTCCATTATCCCAAGTTAGCTTTGCCATCCCGGTCCCAGCAACACTGGCACAAGCCCGCGCGCATCATCAGGAGCTACAGCCCCACGAGCAAGGTGTCACCGGAAGCATGTGCCTGAGTCAGTGCTGTCTTTTGGTTTGTGGTCGCTACATGATTCCTCTCGCCGTGCCTCAGTTCTTCTGCAAGTGCGCCTGCTTATGCAAAGCCTGAGGCATCCCTCACAAAGGCAGAGGCGGATTTCTCCAACCTACCAGGCATTGGACAGGCGCGTGCCGTGCTCATTACTCGTGCCGTAAATGATTTGCAGTGAATCTCTTCCTCCCCTGACGCAGAGCATGGACAAGAACGAATTCCTTGATGTGCTCAGAAAGCCTGGCCCTCAGTGCAAGCAACGACAATGTTTTGCTTGCAACGGCATCAGGTAGTTGGAAGATTTGTTGGATGGAGTGTTGGCTAAAGAGCACGGTCAAGTCAGATTTGCCCCGCAGCCCAGCGGAACTTCAGCTCCGAACGCGTGGCATGAGCCGAGGTTACTTGCACAGTCAAAGCACTTGCAGAACAATCCGCGTTTAGGCATCCATCCAGAGGACTGAGCGTTTACAATGCGTCTTGTATATAAACTGGCTGGCTGAAAGCGGCTTGCAGGAAAAACGTGCTGCCACCATTGTCATGAAGGAGCTGGAGGCCTCAACCGGAACCGGAGTTTGCATCTTGGGTGCGTCAGATATAAACAACTCAGGGCTTGCCAGGCATTCTCAACCAGCAAGAAAGGTCCCTTGGTGGTGGAGGCAGCGGCTTGCAACTCTACGTGTCAGTGCTTGCATTTCAAGGGTCCATCTCTCAATCCGTGCCTGAGGAGTTGGAGTACGTGCCTGGCAGATCCAACATTAAGGCCCGTTCCCCAGTGAGGGATAACAGTTTCCGCGTTCTTCACCATAGGAGCCTACAAGCAGGCAGCTTGATGTATGTGTATTCAGTTTGTAACTTGACAAGGTCCTCCATCCGCGACTGAGCAATCATAAGCTGCAAAACAGGTCACCTATCCTGGCACGGGCCCTGAAACCACATCGTTTGCCGGCAACTCAGCGAGCGGCAGCCGCAACACCTGTTCAGAGAAGTGCACTGCCATGACAGGAGCCGATGTCGGGGTTTCCGCAAACAGGGGGTCTCTAGCCTAGGACCCCACAATGCTATAGCGCTAGTCATCAAAGATTTTGCAAATCAACATGTAGCCTATCCACTGACGACCAAATGCCCCTGCAAACTGCAACGGAGGATTAACTATTGCGGAAGTTGTACTGGCTGCAGAAATCTGTTTATCATGAGTATCAATGCAGGACCAGTGATGATACGGAAGTAAGAGCTGTGACAGGAACCCGAATTGCGTTAGTACCCAGACTTGTATGAGTAGCACATGGTAGTTTCCCAAATAAGGGGACCCCAATATAGACCCCAACATATTTTAATCCTTATTGTGGGGACCCTTGAAAAGGTAGCCCTAATTTTGGGAACTACCCACATGCTGAGAAACCCTCCAAAAGCAGTCTGACAAGGGATATTATAATTTATTATAGCATATTATAGTCTATTATAACATGTTATAATATATTATAGTGTTATATTATAGTATATTAGAATACTTTATAGTATATTACAGTATTTTATAGTATATTAGGTTGGCAGTCACTTTGACGTTGTTCCCGCGGACCCGGAGGCATGGTCCAAGGACAGCCCAGGATTTAGGGGTCAAAGGTGGAGATGGTGGAGAGCTTGAATTCTAAGACTTCTATACTATAACTTACTATAATATATTAGAATATATTAGAATATGCTAGAATATACTATAAGATACGTACTAGGTTCAGGAGTTAGAGGTAAGGTAGGTGTACTTAGTCCTAGAGCCTTTGGGGTACCTTAAGCCCCAAACTCATCCATGGCAGGATCCCTTCCAGCTGACTGTGGAGGGAGACTTGCTCTATGGAAGGGGCACCACAGACTGCCTAGGCGCCTGCTGCTTTTGCCGCAGTTCCTTCTTTGATTTGCGCTGTGTGGCTTGTAGCTGCTATTCATCTGTGTGATCTTTTTGCTCCGGATGTTTCAAGTATGACGACTAGGTTTAAGCAATGTGAAAACTCATGCCATGGTGTCTGCTGTGGTAAGGACCTAAGACTTAGTGGTAGCATAATTGTCATAAAGATTATGATTTTCTTGTTTCTGACAAGGTGGACATGCTCATGCTGCCATGCAGACAGTTCTTCCTCACATCGTAAAGTATCGCACCATGACTATGCCAGGTAATGATCAACACTGAACCATCTTCACAAGTTCCACGAGAGTAGTATCTAATTTGGGGATACTATGGTACCCAATATAGAGTAAGATTATATCCTCTTTTTGGGTATAGTATCTTATATAAGGAATATAATCTTACTAGGTTCCACCACCAAAAAAACACTACTCACGAGATCCTCTGGACCCGACCAAAACCTTCAACCCTGGACCCTGACCTCGACTGGTCTAAACTCCTTACAGGGTTTTTTTAAGGGGATTATATAGGGGACTACTAAAGGGGGTAGTAAGGGGGATAATCGGAGTTTAGACTGTAGCTCATATGCAATAGCCCATATCCATATCATTTCGTCGATGGCGCAGGGCTCTTTGCCTGCTTACACTAGCCATGCCTAGTAGGGAATGGGAAATGAATCTGAAGAGTAGCCCCTCTAGAATCCGCAATGATTAGCCGGTTGCGTGGAATAGATGAATGGATCCTTACAGTACCAGCTGTATCATCCCTCCATCCCCTACTAGCAACCCTACACCCTAAATGATAGGATGATCATGCTGGGGTGGATCTGGGAGAGACAAAGCAAGCCGTGAAATTCAGTCCTCGAGTGAAGAACCTAGTAGGGATCGGGCCCCGGGTGATACCATGATGGATGAAGAGGTGGGAGAGGGTGACAAGGACTCTGATGGCTGACCATAGTCTAACACGCTGCACATGGCCTTCCCAAACCGGGAGTACATGAAGTGACAGATACCTGATATATAGTACTGACCGAAGCCCTTCCTAGCAGTGTGCTGGAATAGAATAAACTTGTGAAGGGATGTGAAACAGGTACCTTGCAGGTTGCATTCCCTAGGCATGGGTAAGTTGCATATTCCTATAACCCCTCGTTGTCCATGTCGTTTTCCAATCGACCGCTATGGGGAAATAACATGACCTTTAGTTCCCCACGATTAGGAGTTCCTACATAACCCAATGAATGCAGCGGGGGCTCCATTTCATTTTGCACTTGCTTTTGTATTCGATTCTCCCTTCCCTACCCTAAACCCTAAACCTTAAATTTGTGCTAATCAAGCGTCTCTAAGGAGCTAAATCCGAGGAGAAAAGGTCACACACAAAAAGCATCTTAAATTTCAGGGATTCCTGTCTTGGAAAAAGGTCCGGCAAAGACTACGACTTCAAGAACTAGTTTCCATTTCACTTTTCCATGCTATTCCCCATGTGAGCTATAGTCTAAACTCCTAGTATACCCCTTAATAACCCCTATAGTAGTCCCCTATATAATCCCCTATATAACCCCCCTTTAAGGAGTTTAGACTATAGCTCATGTGGCAGGCCATGTTGCCCTCCTGACCTGTTTCCTCAAAGAGCTGGGCCGCACCAAACCGCCATTGAAGCGAAGCGTGGGTCTCAAAGGATAATGGAGAAGTTTAAGGGTTTAGTTTTTTGGGCTTTAGGGTTAAAGGGTTTATTGTTTAAGGGCTTAACGTCTAGGACAAGGAAATAGGGAACCAAAAGGAAACTACTATTTCGGGCTAGGGGTTTATTCAAGAATTGAAGCTGGGGGTTTCGTAGGGAAGTAATGTGGGAGCCTCGATATTTTTCGCATAGGTGCCCTATACTATACTACTATACAACAAGTACTCAAGGAATCTAGGACCATAATATTGGTATTTGTGCAGGCTTCTACGGGTGGATGCTCTTTGCAGCCCCTTCCTGTGCATGCAACCCCTGAGGGCAGTGAGAATCCTATGAGCACGTCCGAATGTATCGCTTAGAGCCGCATCTGGGGCTGATGCCAAGTTCTATGCCACGCCTTGGATTTGGGTTCCCCTATTATATGACCCCCTTAACCTACCCCCCTACTGTAGGCCCCCCCCCCGTCAATTCAGGTTATTTAGGGATTATTGGTTGGAGTGCTTACATGGTGGTGTATGGGAACAGCGCTCCTTTGTGGCTTTTTTCAACAGCTGTATTTTGATCGGTCATCATATGCAAGACGAAGCCTCGCGTCCTCAGGTGTTGTGGTGGTCTTCATTGCCGCAGAAGAGGGCGGTGAAAAGGAAATTGGTGTGGATGCAGTGCTGAAGAATGGAAAGTTGGAGGAGGCCCCACGGCCAACTGGGGGCTTCTCAAGATGGGTGATGACAGCCGTACTTGGATTTCAATGCTCAGAAATGTTTTGCATGATGCCCATTTTGCTCAAAGGGTCTCTGTGCGGGAAGCCTTTAATCCTGTTTGCCGTAGTGTGTAGCTGAATCGACGCAGCTATTGATTCAGTGAAGCCTGCTCAGGCCAAGAACGGCCCTGTGTACTGGGCCACATCCTCAGATTCTACAGGGATGTGTACCGTGACACCTTCATCTCTGCCCACGCCGAATGCACAAGATCCTCCGAAGCAGGCAAATCACCATGCCCTTAAGTCGCTCGCAGGTTGATTCGGCAGATTCCAACCCTTGCTGCGGCACAGCGGGAGCGTTGTCCTGGTGCGTCTGTCAGACTTTTTAGCTACAGCCGCGACAGGAGCGTGATGAACATGAGCAGTGTGCAGGTTCAAACATCATAAGAAAAAGCATGAAGCCCAAATTCGCACAGGTCGCTAAAATGTCGAGGGCGCTTGTTTCACAGCGGCGCCTTGACTGATTCCAAGTCCTAGTGGCTTCACAAGCATCCAAACCTGAAGGTTCATAGGTAGTTGTCCATGGGGGGCTCAATGGTTAATGCCCAGGCCAGAAATCATGTTCAAATCTTATCAAATCCATATTTAAACATACTCCCTGGTTTCGAATTCCACTGAACCCAGAGGATATCATGTCGTGTCTATCCAAAATCGCGTTTGCCTTCCAGGTTTCCCCAACAAGGCCATCAACTCCATAGAGCTGGCCAACGAGGCAGACTTGGTAGTTTCCCTAGATTGGGGGGCCCCTATATAGGATTAGGGATTTAGGGTTTAGGATTTAGGGGACCCCAATATAGACCCCAAAATATTGTAATCCTTACTCTAGGGACCTCCAAAACCTCATTTTCGGCAAAAACTGGCGCAGCGCATCTCTCCAGATGGACTTGTGAAGTATTATCCAACGGATTGCGAGATTAGATTAGACTAGATACAATCATTTCTCATGGAGAATGATGGGAGGAGGGGATTGTGCTTTAGGAGGTGTCCTGCTCGGAGGCCATTGCTTTCATCCAAGAACGCTTCTACAATGACTTCAAGCCGCTACCAGAGGAGGAGCTCTACTCCTTTGTTACGGGGCCGGGAGCCCATTGCTCCAGCCATATCGGACCCTAGGAGTATGTGGGGGGTACAAAGGGATGATAGGGGTCCCTATTCATGGTTCTAAATGTGGCAGTGCGATCAGCTCCCACACTGGGGCTTTCTGAAATTCGCCCCATATTCTGGGTTCCTGTTTGCAAACGGAATTTCAGGCAAACTGCTGTCATGTGTTATGTGCGACCTTGGTAACACCTTGAAGCCATGCAGACGCCAAGACTCAGGTCGCACATGAAGCCGACTCAGATCGAGTGTAGCAAGGGCTCCTTCAACCAAATCCCCGCCGAGACCACCGTCCATGGCGACATCAGGCAGAGCGTAATATACTGTTATATACCATAACATACTATAATCTACTGTTTCCATTTTCTTTTCCATTACCCTTATATAACCCCAACATTATACTAGTTTCCATGTTCTGGGGGGGTCCATAACATTAGGGTTATATTAGGGTTATACTGGGGTAATATGGGCGGCAATATTAGGGTTATATTGAGGTAATCTTGGGGTTATATCGTCACAGTGCGGTACGTGCAGGCTGTCTCCTTTCTACGAGGTGGAAGATGTCGTAGAGCATGTGGAGCGCTACGTGCAGGCAACATGACAGTTTCCCAAAATAAGGGGACCCCAATATGGACCCTAATAGACTATAGTCCTTCTTATGGGGATCCCCAAAAAGGGAGCATGGAAACTATTATTGTGTTGGGGTTATATAAGGGCAATAGAAAGAAAATGGAAACTACTATAGTATATCATAGTATATTATGGTATATTATAGTATACTATAGTATATTATGCTAGTTATGCTCGCTGTGCACAAGCGCCGCGAAGCGCCGCCATTGACGCCTCAGTTGGTTGAACCACATAAGCAGAGCTGCCTAGTATGATTCCCTGCGATAGCACGCACAGGTCAGTCCCAATCACAGCCCCAATCAGCCTCTTGTCCTGGTAACCCAATAAACCCCTCCCCTTAATAGGGATTATAATCGGGATCCTGATATTAGGGCCCTTAAAAGGAGGGGGTTTATTAATCATGGGTCTACACTAGCATGTGCGGAGATGCAATCAGCGCAGCAGCTCGAGCCTCACAAAGTTGGGGCTGGAGCTGTTGCCAGGTCACCTAAGAGTGAATCTGCAATGCATGAACCGGTGTAATCCCAATAGAACACACAAGTATTACTATGCTGGGAGCTTATGAGGATGATCCCTAGGTAAGCGGGTCTCCCGAATGCAGGAGCTGAATGATGACATGGAATGTCTCTGCAGCACTGCCCGAGGCCGGAAATATAGCCCAGATTATTCCTGTTATGTGGAGCCTAAAAAGGGCCCCCCAAGTTTTGGACACCCCCAACTGTTCCTGGCTACCAGTGCAAGTGTCAATGCAGCAAAGGATATTCGTACAAGAACTGACATGAGCTATAGTCTAAAGTCCTTAAAGGGCGTTATGTAGGGAATTATATAGGTGGGGGGGTATTGCAGGGGTTACTAAGGGGGATACTAGAAGTTTAGGCTATAGCTGACATGCAAATGCATAGTTATACATGTCTGCACATATATTAAACATTGGTTCTGTCCAGGGAGCTTTCAGATTTAACGCAAGTATGAGCAGCACTGAAAGATGTTCACATCATGGCAATGGTGTGGTTTAAAAGCTTCTTCAAACTTGGACGCGGAGGCCCCTGGAGCAAGTTTGTTCTTCCGAGCAGCGTGCAGGCAGGATGCAGCAGAGAAGCATGATGACTCTTCTTGTGCTTTGACTCTGAGCAACTGCCGCTCCCATGCTAGCGGCTTCATGATGACAACAATGACGTGGATAATTATTACATACAATACCTGTAGTTCCCATTTTGTTTTCCATTATCTATATATATATATATCCAATATATACCCTATATAGTCCCTATCAGTATATCAACCGAGAAAATGCCAAGTGTGAGCGCCTGCATAGTCCTTCACGGGACCTGCGGTCGGCTCACAGCATCTTGTGCTGCTAGGTGCAGGATAACGAGTTCAACCGGGCAAAGGCCAGTTTAGGGTTTGGGGTTTGGGGTTTAGGAGGAGTTTGGTAACCCCAAGTCCTATAATCAGGACACTTGTAAGAGTGATCGTCATAAGGTCCTAGTTGTGCCCACGCAAGTTCGTAGCCCTAAGAGGTTCCTCAGTTTACCCCCATATGAACCAATATAGTCCCTCTATAATCCCCAATAGTAGATTCCACTTTCTTTTCCGTACCCTTTGTCCCTGCAAGCTAGAGGTGACTTTTATGACCCCTGTGTAAGCCTAGCTTCCGTTTCATTTAGCCATGTTCCTTTCCATATGGTATGATTCTCCATGATGAGGGTGATATACCCTGATATAATCCTTATACAACCCGATATAATCCTTCTATGAGTAAACGTCAATAGTGGCGTTATTAAGGGACCTTGAACAGCTCTTGTACTTTAGTATTGTCCCTACTATAATCCCTAGTCCAAGATATGTAGGACATTTTGACTGTAGCTCATAGATCCCTTATATGACCCTATACAACCCCTAAACCCTAATGCCTAAACCCCAATCCCTAAACCCTAAACCGTATATGGCAGTTTCCCAAAATTAGGGGACCCCAATATAGACCCCAATATACTATAGTCCTTATTATAGGGGCCCCCAAAAAGGTACCCCTGATTTTGGGAACCCCCCATATAAGCCCGGCAGGTGGAGCTGAAATGGATGGGTGACATGGACACCTTCCGACTTTATGCTGGCTTAGCTGTTAAGCTGGAGTCCGATGGTCACAAGGCTGGATCTTACCTCTTGTGTAGGGTGTAGGGTCTAGGGTTTAGGGTTTAGGGCTTAGGGTTTAGGGTTTAGGGGGTTTCCCAAATCTAAGGGTACCTTCTTGGGGACCTGCATAACAAGGATTAACGGGGCTTCGACGATTCAAGCGAGAATAGTAGAGAATCACGTGGAAACTTAAGTTGCCAAATTGCAAACCCAGCTTATACAGCGGTTAGTAAAGTGTCTTTCAAATATGACGCAGAGTTTGACAGCGACCCGACTGAGCGTCTGAAGCTTGGGCGCAGCAAGCGAGTTCGGTTGTTTTCTTTGGGATACTATGATCCCCAAGACAGAGTAAGATTATGTCCTCGTTTTGGCTATGGTAGTGTAAAAGACAGAAGAACATAATGTTGCTTGGCTAAACCCCAAACCCAAAAAACTGCTCAAGTGTGACTGGTGTTGTCAGGCTTTGGTGCAGGCCTTCCGCGAGAGCAACAAAGGCACCTTGCACTGACAGACTCATTTGGTTTAATTAAGGTTCAGGGCTATAATGAATGCGGGGTTGTGAAAACTATGAGCCCTGTTTGGGCACGCTAAACATTAGTGGGATACTGTACAAGCGACCCAAACAAATCTGAGTTTAGAGAGCTTTCCAAATGGACTGTTGAGCGACAGTGCTCCGTGTGAGCAAGCCTCATTCGGTTTCTGGGTGTAAAACGAGCAGGTCAATGGCTTCATGCAAGCAGACATGTTTTGTGCAAGCAAAAACTCACCCAACCCTCACCTTAGATGCCGGGAAATAGGTGTTCAGCCCTTCAGCATCAATGGCTCGCTGCCGCCCGGGAACCTGGCAACTCAGATTTCATCCGTCATCGCTTCAGGCAATTGGTCTCTGCTTCGCGAGGCATAGCCACTAAACAGCAACCGACTCCTCCAAAACAACAACCCCCCACCCGACCCCCTGATATAGCACCATTGTATAGCAGGGAGAAGATGCATGTTTAGGGGCCAGGGGTGAGGCGGGTGTGAAAAGCTACCAAGACCACTTTTGTCATGGCATTTCGTCAGCTATGCCTAGGTTGGTGAAGATGATGCAGAAGGCCAGGTTTGGAGTTTAGGGTTCAGGGCTTAGGGTTCAGGGTTTAGGGTTCGGGGCTAGGGTTCAGGGTTCAGGGATCCAATGTACTCCTACCCATATTATGGGGAATGGATCCCTATGGCAGCTGGTACATTAGTCCACTATTCAAGACGTTATATGGCAATTTGCTGAAACTCTAAACCCTAAGCTCTATGGTAACAAGCTCTTTTCGATTCCTTCATGGGGTTTATGCCCCTATTAACAAACCAGCAAGTTGCTCGGCAGATATATGCAGGCTGGCTTCGACATACAGATGTGCGGCTTCGGAAAGATGTCGGTCTATCATGGCGTCAATGAGTGCCCCACAGATGACGTCAAGCTCGGATCTGTTAAGGCGGGGTCAAGTCAACAGTATGTAATAGCAACTGTAGCAGTAGCACAAATTGATACCACATCACCTTACTTATGGATCTTGTAGGTCTCGCGTAGTAGAGTCAGAAGAGGTACTGCACAATGTCGGAGATGATGAAAGCGCACGAGGTTATTGTCCGCCTGGTATGTCTTCTGGACGGGAACCATTTTCTGAGCAGCTTCCGGGACGAACTTCGTTGAATCAGGTCACGTGTAATAATAAGAGTCTCTGAGACCACTATTTCTAGTCTTCTTGCTATTACAAGTACTACGTAATCATCATTTCTATTTATTATCAGTACTGTGCCACATGTCGTGACATCAAGCATGACGGACAGCTGCAAGGGAGTTCACAAGATTCTGTGCTGCTGCCTACCTGCAGGAGACAGCGGCAAACTGAGATGAGTAGGCTTTAGGCATCTTAGGACTCTGCAGGTTCTCTTCAAAGCCTCATTTTCCTCAATCTTCCCCCATGAAGAATCTAAAGGTTTTGGAGATTTGTGGGGAACCCGGAGAAGTGAGATAGGATCCACCGGGAGTGCGTCCCAAGTTCTTTGTGATACCCGCCCAGGTTCACAAGACGTGGTCTGCAAGAGTGGGTCTTATAATGAAAGCAACGCACGGGAAGGAGCTCGCTTCTGTTTATGGACAAAATCCTACTTTTACTTGACCAGAACATTATCCAAGGGTTTATTTTTCAGGGTCATGTAGTCGTGCAGGATTTTGTCCATCAGCCGAAAGAAGCAGCTGGGCTTTCTTTGCAATCAGAATACCAAGAATGTGGCCCACATCGGATGTCCTTGCGCCGCGCTACATTTGCTCAGTGCACGATCCCTAAATTTCGTACAGTCTTTGGCAACAATTTGCATTGTATGGTTGAGCCAAGGTTGCAGGGGTACCAACATGTACCAGCTAGGGACTTGACAAACACTTCCTCTGAGACTTTGACAATAGTGCGGAGAGATGCCGCTCGCCGCAACACCTGCCATCCGTTGGATAGTTGCAAGCAATAACCTGAATCCTAACAATGTTGTTGGTCTTATCAAGCTACTCCACAACACAGAGCTCAGAGCTTTTTCAAAACGCCCACTGAATTCTCTAGACAATCTATGTGGATGGGCCGTCCCTTCTTTGTGCTGTGCCGTAGATGATGCCCGCTCACCCTGCTTGCGGCCACACGCTATGGGGGCATAGTCGCCACTGACCGCGTGCCTTCATGGATGGTTCGCCATTGCAGCCGCATCCTCATGTGCAGCAGCATCAGAATGTGATTTTTCACCCACGTGATGCTGTGCGATGTTCGCCAGGCATTTTTCGAGCACATCTCAAGTGGCATCACCTGCATCCTCACCCACAAAATGCTCAAGCAGCTCAGATTGATTCTGCCTGTGGCGTGACTAGAAGGGCCGGGGCAAACCTGAACTCGTGACAACGGTACCGGAATAGAAGAAGCCCATTTGCCAGCAATACCCACCCCCAGCGATGGAAGTCCCAGTGTTCCTGTCTAGGGTTTTAAGGCTTTAGAGGTTTAGGCTTTTAGGGTTTAGGGCTTCAGGGATTAGGGTTCAGGACCAGGGGATCATCCTTCATGATTTGCCCTCAGCGTGTTTTGGGTACTGCCCCGCTCAGGAACAGTTCGGATAGAATTCTAAAATATAGTGTGAATAGACACATATGTATATGTATAGCTTTGAATATTACCCTATTTATAGACTGTTTCACACCTAAAGTCATACAGTAATGGCCCCTAAATATGGAGTTGATAGGGCAATTAGGGCCTTAACATACCTACGATTGTCCTTTATGGTACCCGTTAGGTCTGCTCTACCAGCTGCAGGTGGCTTTCGCGCGACCACGCACTCTGCCCCATCCAAACTAATGGATGGACAGCTCACACTGTTGAGGACTGGCTGGTTAGTCATGTTTGATCATGGACGCACTAGATAGAGGCAATATAGGGGTTGTATGAGCCATAATCTAAACTCCTTTGGGATTGCTATGGGGCTTAATAAGGGGGATACTAGGAGTTTAGACTATCGCTCATGTAGGGATGATAGGGGAAATTACCTCTATAATGGAGAGTTTGTGTGAAATCTGGGGGCTGGCTGGTGTTGCTTGGGGTTTTGCGAATCATGGGAGCAGGAGCATGTAATTGCTCAAGCCATGTAGAACAGCACTTCGTTCACCCACCCCCCCCCCCGCCCCCAAAAGAAATGCATTAATTATGCGCGCAGCCCTAAACCCCAGAGTCTAAACCCTACTCCACAAACCCAAAACCCTAATCCCTAAGCCCTAGTCCTTAAACCCCAAACCCTGAACCCTAATCCTTGTGGTAAGTGCCAGGAAAACGCTCCGAGAAAGGCGCGGATCCAATCGGCCTGCAGTGCTGAGTCCCCTACCGCCTTCACCGTGACTTGGCGCTGTTGTAGGGCTTTAGGAGGTTTAGGGTGTAGGGTTTTAGGGTTTAGGGTTTTAGGGTTTCTGGGTTTAGGAGGTTTAGAGTTTTATGGTTTCTGGGTCTAGGAGGTTTAGGGTTTTAGGGTTTAGGTTTTAGGGTTTAGGGTTTAGGTGCAACATATTTGGGAAGCTGCAGGTATCAGATCAGAGGTGGCCCATAACGGTGTCGGGTAATGGATCAGAGAACTGGATCAGCTTGAGAGACGTAGCGGATCAGTATCCTAGCACCGAACAGGATCCGGCCGAAACGCGTAATGGCTCAGGATGTCGGATCAGCTCGACCATCACTGTATCTAAGCTTCCAGCGGTCATTTAGATCTTTTGACCGCTTTCATTGGATTCTGGGGACGCTCCATGCGTGAGTGCAGATTGGAGGACGCTCCACGTGGGAGCGCCGTCGGGCGATCGGATTCTGAGGACGCTCCACACGGGTGCGCCGTCGGAGGGCCAGATTCTGAGGAAGCGCCGTCTGGAGGTGGGACTCTAAGGACCTTCCACGTGAACGACGGATTCTGAGATCGCGGGTAGGCTTTATACGGCTTAGGGTTTAGGATGGCTTTGGGGTTTGACCTTCGGGAGTCTTTTGGGTTTAGCTTGGAAGTCGTTAGGGTTGAGGGTTTTGAGGACCTGTGGGAGACATGAGCGGTTTAGGGTTTTGGGGGTCTTTCGGGCTCGGGGTCTAGGAGTCTCTAGGGGTGTTTAAAGTTTTTGAGGTTTAGAGTTTTTGGGGTTGTCAGGGTTTTGAGGCTTTTGGGGTTGAGGGCTTGGGGTTTGTAGGGATTAGGCCTTTTAGGGTTTAGGTTCTTTAGGCCTTGAGCTGTCAAGGTTATTAGGGCTAGAGTCTAGAGTCTAGACGGTCTCGAGTTGTTTGGGTTTGGGGTTTTACGGATGCTTTTAGGGTGTGGGCTCTTTGCGTTTAGAGGATTTTGAGGGTTTAATGTGTTAGGATTGCGGGTTTTTGGGGCTTACCGCTTTAAAAGCTTTTAGGGTCTAGGGTTTATAGCGCTTCTGGGTTTTGAGGGGCTTCAGGGTTTAGGGTTTCAAGGCTTATAGGATTTGTAGGATCTAGGACTGTTAGGGTCTAGGGTTTCAGAGCATTATTGGAATTTAGGGTTTTTTAGGGTTTTGGCCTTCAGGGTTCAGGGCATTTGGGGTTTAGGGTGTTCAGGTTTCATGGAGTTTAGGGTTGAGGTGTTCAGGGGCGGTTTGGGTTCAAGGTTTTTAGGGTTCAGGGTGATCAGGGTGTCGTGTCTTTAGTTTTTTTTTTTTTAGGTTTTTAGGGTTTTGGGTTTTAAAGGATGAAGGTTGTTAGGGTGTACGGTCTTGGGAGTTTTTTTAGGGTTCTTAGGGTTTAGGGGATGCACTATTTGATATGATGCTGGTCATGTTGAAAAGAGAAAAAAAAGCGGGCGTTGGGGGGCACAGCCCCCTGTTGTCACACGGGTGCATGTTGAAAACGGCAGGGGGTTGAGGGGGGCGCAGCCCCACCCTTTGCACACCATTGGGGAACGTTGCAGTTGTTGTCGAGGACTCACCATGCGACGTGACGCAGGTTATGTTTGTTTAAGAAGCAGGGGGCTTGGGGCGGGCGCAGCCCCCCTAATAATTGTTAGGGTTCAAGGTTTTGGGCTGTTTGGGGCTCCATGGTGTTTAAGGTTTGGGGGTTTGGTTCAGGTTTAGAGTTTGGCCATTAGGGCATTTTAGGGTTTAATTGTCATCGTTTTTGACTCCTCAAAACCGCCGTCCTCGTAACTGTCCTCGGTTTTTGATGCCTTAAAGCTGCCATCCTCGTAAATGTCGTTATTGTCCTCGGTTCTTGACACCTCAAAGCTGCCATCCTCGCAAGCGTCGTCACATTTAGCCCCTCGTGCTTTCGTCGCGCCTCGAAAGTGTCGACCGTCACACAGAAACGGGGGTAGTGCTTGCATGTCTACCCGATCTTATTTCCTGATCCGATTGGGGTTTGGCTTGATCCGATTTCATGCATCGCAAGGTGATCCGATACATCCCCCCATCGATCCGTTACGTCGTCTTTTCCTATGTCCCCTTGATCCGGTTCGCACCACGGCCCGATCCGTTACCTGTGAGCCGATTCGTGGGTCTACCAACATATTTGGTTCCATAAATGGGGGGGCCCCAATCTAGGCGCCCAAATGCTACAATCCCTATACTGGGTATCCCCGCACCCCTAATTTTTGGAAAATCCACGAGTGCCCTAAATTCCCAATAAGGTTTTTATAGTTGGGGGTCACTCCTCTGCATTTCAGACATTCAGATTCTTGTGATGCCTATCCTTCCATTGGTTTCCACCGGTAGCGTCTACATGTTCGTAGAATATTTCGTAGAATAAACAGCAGATTGAGAATCCGGAGAGGGCCGCGCAAGAGACCAGCTGAGCTCAACTGCTTGTTGCAGTGTGGTCGCGGTTTCTAGTTTGGGCCTTGAGAGTGTATTGCGCATGTTTATTTGGAGGTTTCTGAACATGGAACGCCTTTGGGGACCCCGACGCCTTAAACATCCCTAAACCTAGGAATACTGAGAGTTCACGACCAGAGAGATCTTCATGAATTCTCAAAATCCGGGCCATCTTGAGAAATTACCGCATTGATTTCTTTTGAGTCGTTCCCCTGTGACAGCAGCTGCCCTGAAAGGGGTCCTATTAAGAATTCTTATAACCCCTCTTACCCATGGCGGGAACAGCTACTGTACGGGGAGTGACCTGGAATCTCATTTTGTCCTGCAAACTTCCAATATATTGGCACCAAGTTAGACATTTTTTCGAATGTTCTAGGTGTGGGGTGACATTTGCAGCCCTAAACCATAAACCCTAAACCATATCGTGTGGGCTACCTTCCCTCGAAGTCCCCCTCTATCAAACCATAAAACTATATCCATATGCACCCTAAGAACTGCATCCCGACTACATACCCTAAACCCTCAAAC